GGTCTGCCCACCACTTCAACTTGGGCTCTGGAAAGAGAAGTGGAAGTGGAAGTGGCAGTGCCACTGCCACCACCAGCACCTAAGAAGAAGAGGTCACTGGCAAGCTTCTTCTCTGAGAGTACACTCACCAGCAGCAGCACCACACTTGAACCACGTCAGGCAGTTGAACTTGAACTCCAAAGTTACCTGCAGTCTGCCAGTGTGGAGAGTGACACAGATCCCCTCAAATGGTGGAAAGAACATGAAGTGGTCTTTCCATCCCTGAGTCACATGGCAAAGAAATATCTTTGCATCCCAGCCACCAGTTCCCCTTCGGAAAGAGTCTATAGTTGCAGTGGAAATATTGTAATTTGTCACAGGGCATCCCTGAAGCCTGATGCTATTGACAGGCTTGTTTTTCTTGCAAAAAACCTGTAAGAGAGTTTACAAGCAATCTACCTGTGTCTACAGGAAATATAACTTTTCATGTTAAGTTACAAAAGTTTTGTTAAGATTATTATTATTAGCACAACAGTCCTGTCATAAAAGAGCATGTTTTATTATTTATGTTGTTTAAAAGGGTTAAGACATCCCCTTTCAGTTTATTTTATTGGCATTAATAGCTGAATATTTATTTTCCTAATTATTCAAAATTGTTTATTTGCACAGCTGTGGACTTTATTTTGTCTTTTATTTATCTAACAATGACATTTACACCAGTGAGTGCTTAAAAACAAGAAAAACTTAGCGTCTTAGCTCTAAAATGTTCAGTTCTAAAACTGTTAATAAACATTCTTATATTATCACATATGCCTTTTGACTTTGAATTTAACTGAACATTGTGTACAAGGAAATACCGGGATATAAGAGGTACACAGTATCATGACACGTAAAAATTATACCGGGATATGAATTTTGGGCCATATTGCCCAGCCCTAGTCCTTCCATCCTGTTTGTGGCCAACTGGATGTAACAGAACTGACTGGCCAACAGTATGGACTCCGGAGAGTTTGAACCAAAACCAGGAGAACTGAGCACATCGCTGCTGTTCTTAAATCTTTACACTGGCTCCCAGTTATGTACAGAATCCAAACCCAGCAGGGCTCTTAGGCAGCAGTGATCTGGCTTTAATGCTAATTGTTTTTAATGCTGTTACTGTTTTTCTTTGCCTATGTGAAGCACTTTGAATTGCCTCTGGTTATGAAAAGTCCTCTATAAAATAAGCTGCCTTGCTTTGATCTGAGCTCCAGTGGTGCTTTGACCAAGATTCCTTGGACTGAGTTTCTAGAACACAATGGGACAAAGGTGGTGGAGAGATTCCCACTGTTCATACCTGTCAATTCTGTTTCTGGTTTCCTTGAAAGGATCTCTAGCAGCATCTAGTTTGGTAAGGATTGTCTGCTTTGTGTCAATGATATACTTCTGGCTTCATTAGCCCATGACCCTCAGCAAAGGCTGGGACAGTTTGCAGCCAAGTAGAAGGCAGAGAAAAGGGAAGATAATGAGGGGCACAATCTGGTCAATGTTTATATAGAAACAAAGTGCAAGAGAAAAAGACAATGAAAGAAAGAGAGTGACAGATAAAGAGTTAAAGATGGTGTGATGTGTAGAGCAAGAGAGGAAGGTCCTGGGTCTCTCAGAGACTGAGAGAGAGGAGGGGAAGAAGAGAGACAAGAGGAAAAAGAGATAAATCAGCTGTGTGACAGAGAGTCTGGTCAGAAGTCTGCAGATCCTTGATGATGCAGACCCAGGACAAAGCAGAGCTCTGCTTTCCACAGCTCCCCAACACCTCCTGCAGGAAGCCGACAGCTCAGTCTAACGCTGTGTTCCTAAACATCATGCTGGTCTCTGTCTCTGTGCTCACTGTGTTTCTCAACCTGCTCATCATCATCTCAGTCTCACACTTCAGGCAGAGATTCACTTCTCAGCAGAACCATCACTTAAGTTTTAACAATATGAAATATTTGCTTTGAGCTAATAATTGTTTAATTTTCCAAAGTTGTATA